TTTTTTAAGCACAGGTATCACCTGCATTTAAATGCTAGTATGTTGTGGTACTTCCTAATAAGAGAAGAAATAAAAGTTTTATTTGTTGCTGTTCATGCTCTTAAATGCACATAGTAGCTTTTTCAGAGTAGCATACATAAAATTCAGCAGTCTCTTTGCTGTGGGAGTGTGTATGTACTCTTTTCCCCTCCCCCACCCCCCGGTTCCCCTCTCCACCATGGAAAGCATATGGTGTGTGGTGGGGGGAGAGGGGCATGTTGTAACTGGCTATTGTCAGCATGTTACTTTCAATTTAATAAAAGAAATTTAGTTCAGTAATTTTCTGGTACTTTTGGAGAATAAAGACGATACTATTTCTGATGAGCCATAGTGGGAATATGCTTTAATATCATTAATCTCTAGAAATCTGGAAGGCTGTAGATGAATAACCTTTTTATTGAAATTCATTTCTGCTATCTTAATTTCAGGACAGGTGCAACAAATATGAATGGATATATTGAATTTGAGAGTTGGAACAGAAATCTGAATTTCTGTTACTTAAAGAATTGGGGGCATGAGAAAAGAAGCTAGTAGCCAAAGACTTTAATGGGTACAAAATTTCAGCTCATTAGTTTGTAGTCCAATGCTTAAGTAAGTAGTCTGGCTTAGAAATCTGTGTTAGCTTACGTGCTCATTGCCTTTACAAGGTGGGCTGCTTATGTAGGGATTGGTATATGGAAGGATTTGACCATATTGTTTAGAAAATCTCTTCTGAAGGCATGAGGGAAGGGATTCCTGCAGTCTAGAAATTCATTAGGAGTTGTGTATAAGCTAATGGTCATCTCAGCATTTACTTGAATTGGTATTTGCCATGATGCATCAAAGAACAGCCAAGCTGCACAACAAATGCTCATAGGTGAAGGAGATACTTAAGTGAAATTCTTAGAAGTAATCAGAATTGCTTACTTGCATTGCCTACTCCCCTGTCTTTTAATAGTAGTTAGGGCAACATGAAGTCCTTAAAACAACATCCAAACCCCCTGGAAGGAAATTAGTCTCTGCTATAAATCTGTCTACCTTGGATATCCTAATATCATTGAGTAGGACAGAAATTGCCAAACAAAGGGTCATAACCCAAGTGGGGTCATGACAGTTGTGTGTGTCATAAGCACCACAGAGGTCGTCGTCCTTCCTCAAACTCCACTGTGGAAGTGCACCCTTGGTGCCTGCCACTTGTAAGGACTGGAGCAGGCAGCCAGCAGGTGCCTGATTTAAGGTGGCCATTTTCAAACAGAGGCAAGCTTGGTAGAGACATCAGTGTGTTGCTTGCAGCCGAGGAAGCAACATCACCTGGCTGAGCAGAGGCTCGCAACATCTTGGAGGTAAGGGCAGGAGCTATGGCAGGGGCGGGTAATTATTTCGGGTGGAGGGCCGCTTGATGAGTTTTTTGGTGAGCTGTCGGGGGCTGCATGGGTAGCCCCACCTCCGGTTGCCATCTTGGGACTGGAAGTCCCGCCCCCTAACCCCTGACCTTTGCCACCAGAAGTCCCTCCCCTTGCCCCTGGAAGTACTCCTTTTGGAGAGGTGGCTTTGGAACCGAAATTTATATCCTGTCATATGGTCTGTGTCATAAGACTCACCCACCCAACAGCAAACTGCCCTGCTTGCTATATGTGTCCCAGAATTTGTCTGGACTCGTCCCAGCTTGCCCCGCCCCATTCCCCTGTGGCACAGCAAAAGCCAGCACAGGCCCAGCCCCCTCACCAGCACAGCACCCTCCAGTGCTGTAGGACCCCTCCTGTCCTGAGCTGCAGGAGGCTCAGCCGTAGCTTTCCCTCCCTAGTGCGGCCAGGCCAGCCCAGCCCATCCTGTCCCCTATCAAGTGGTGGCTTCCCCATGTGCCACTCTACTTCCCCCTACCTGCGCCAGCTGGTCCCAAAAGGCAGGATGCTCCACTGCCACTTCTGTGGGCCAGTGCCAACCCAGCTGGGCTCGCCCTATCCCCAGCAGCACATGGGAAGCTGGCTTCAGCCGCATGCTGCTCCAGATGGGACGGGCCCGGCTGGGTCTGCACCGGCCAGCAGAAGCAATGGTGGAGCTGTGTGCTGCTTCGGATGAGATGGGATGGGATGAGCCCAGCCGGAGTGGCAGGAGCTCTGCTGTACTTTCCCCACATCTGCGCCAGTCAGTCCCAAGCGGCACAGGGCTCTGCTGCCACTTCTGCTGGCTGGTGCAGACCTGGCCGGGCCTGTCCCATCCGGAGCATCATGTGGCTGAAGCCAGCTTTCCACGTGCTGCTAGAGATGAGACGAGCCTGGCCAGGTCAGCACCGGTCAGCAGAAGCGGCGGTGGAGCCGTGTGTCACTCAGGACTGACTGATGCGGGTAGGGGAAAGTGCAGCTGAGCCCCTGCCACTCCAGCCAGGCTCATCCCATCCCATCCTGAGCGGCACACTGCTCCACCACCACCTCTCCTTCCTGGTGCTGACTGGGCTGGAGCTGTGGCCCAGCCCAACCCCACACAGCCCAAGTGACACAGCACGGCCCAGAGAAACCCTGCACAGCAGCTGCTTTCCTAAGCTTACCTACAGGGCAGGGCCCTTTCCAGTCCCGTGCAGCAAAGCAGAAGCTGGCCCAGACACTGTTTCCCCTCACCAGCGCCAGAGGTTCTGGCCCAGCCCTCCCTACCCCTTTCAAGCTGCAATTGTGGCCTGAGCCAGGGGTGGGGTAGGGCATGGTCAGCTGGGTCAGGCTGAGGTCAGGGTTGGTTGCCTTGCAACCAGAACCCAAGGAACCAGCCTGAGGTGCTGCAGCTGGCGGCTTTTAGAGAGGCAGCTGCCATTACCTAGGTTTTGAAGGGGCTTCGCGGGCTGGAGGGAAGTGCTTGGCAGGCTGGATGTGGCCCACAGGCCGTATTTTGCCCACCCCTGAGCTATGGGGAAGCTTTGGAGGGTTCTGGTCCTGGGCATGACCTGAAACTGCACCCTGCTGGCAGAGGGTGGCCTGGTGGGGCTGTTTGTGGCGGAACAGCCCCCAAGAAATGCCAGGAGAGTTACCTTCCTGGTGAAAGGCAAAGAGGGGTGCCTTAAAACCCCAACCCCCACAACTGGAAGGGTAACCCCACAGTAGGGCTTGAGAAGGTAGACCCATATAAGAGATAGTGAGCTAGCTGCTCAGGAGCCTGACTCGAGGCATCCTCAACTGGTCAGTGCTGAGGCCAGGACCAGAAGGGTCAAAAGGGCCAGAGTGCCCACTGCGAGGGATGCCCGGAGCCAGGGGGCCTGGGGTTCCGACTGGCCTAGAGGTGAGGCCAGGCCCTGTGTAACGAAAGGTCCCAGTGAGGGGGCCACTGCTGAAAGGGAATAGAGTGCAGGGAGCTTGGCTGCCTGATTAGGAGGGATTTAGTTGGGGTCCAGACTAGAGTGTTATGGGTTCCATTGTGGGGCCAGAGCCATTAAGAAGTTATGATGCAGTGGCAGGGGCCACGGTGTAGGTGAGGTATTGAGCTGTGGATAGCAACCCCTGGCATCAGGGCATATAATGGGCAGCCTCCCGCACTTACCTCCAGTTGATTATACTAGCAAAGTCATAGCAGGCAAGACTGGGTGGACTGCCCCATATAGACAGGTGGGCAGACCGAGGTTGAGACCTGGCCCTGAACATGCCCCCATCACATCCACAGTAGTCCCATGTGCCCACAGTTACTGTAAGTTAAATGTAAACTGAGGCAACCGAGCCCTGTTTCATTTGGGAGTAAGCTGCCCTGATTTAGCTTTCACTACAGAATAACAATGGACGACGGGTAGTTACTGCAAAGCAGCTGGAGTGCAATTAAGTTCCTGCCTTTACTGTAGGAATAGAAACAGAACAGGTAGCACTACATGGGGTTACACAGAATTATAGACCTAAAAGTGGGTCACAACTACAAAAAGTTTAGAAACTAGACAATGGATGGTTCTTTAAAACCAACTACATGGTTTATGTTTCTTACAAATGACTATTAAAATCAAAATAAATAATTTCACAATATCTAGCATGAGGATGCATAGTTGGCAGTTTGGCTTCCAGAGCTGTGGTGAAATGCTTCCAGCAGTAGATGTTAAGTGTTGCTCAGGGCAGCCCTTGGGCCTCCTCGGCTTGTATTGCTACAAGCAAGTATAAATTAATATAACTGAATTTTTAGTTGTTTATCCATGACATGTATGCTCACAAAAAAAATTAATTCAGTTTTTTCTTTTCTTTTCTCTCCCTCCCTCACATTTCTACAAGATTGTTGAAGGTGAGTGTTCATATAATTTTGCTAAGTGATAACAGAATTGTAATATTTTTTGTAATGCATTATATGGTATTGCAAACCTAGTCAACAAGGATGTGCCTTCCACTAATTTCTTCGAAATGGTTTCATGTATTTGTCTGAAGATAAACATTTGAGAAACCCTGTAGTAAAAATTAATAACCCTAGATCAACTAATACTGAGTGCATCTGCATGTGCCCTTTACTGCAGTTGCCTAATTAGCTCTGCAGTAAAGTGTCGCTGTCTACACGTGGAGCACTATTTGGCTGCAGTAAACTAATTAACAACACTGCAGGATAGTACTGCCCAACACAAGTGCTGTCCTGTAGCAGAATTACTTAGTGTGCTGTAATGCACACGTAGACAGTGACCAGGGCTGGCTGGGGCAAAAGGGTACTACAGTGTGGGGACTGCCTGCTGGTTAGCCCTGCACTGTGGAACCCATGTGCACAGCCAGCCCCTCTACAGCATTTTGACCTGGGCCTGAGCAGCTTTGAGCTAGCAGGCTGACTCCCCTGGGCTACCTGCCAGCTGGGGCTGCTGTGCCATGACTCAACATGCAGTCCTGGGCACATGTGTAAACACTGTGCCTGGGAGCAATAAACTGCATCATGAACTGTCTTGGAGTTTATTCAGGCACATTGGGTGCATCTATGCATGCAATTACTATCAAACTAAGGCCATCAGTAAACTGAAATAAAATTTACTATTTGATTACTGTTCTGCACCCTGAGCTCATCTACACAAGATGCTGACTGCACAGTAGCCAAAAAATATCGCACAGTAGTGTGTCACGGCACAGACAGTGCTAATACGTGCATTATTATTAGGCTAGTGCTAATACAAGTCCTAAATAAATGTACAGTAATGACTGCACAGTGGTGTCTCATGTAGATGTCTGCTGAGGCATAGAAAACTCACTATGTCTATACTACTGTTTTAGCACAATAAGGCTTCAGAATATGTATCGTGTAAGCTGCCATCTCTTGAAATAACCCTAATGTGGCTGTTGTCCCTTGATACAATTTTTCACCCTTATGCTAAGATGGTAGTGGATTTAATTTGTGAAAGAATAAACATGAAAATGCAAGGAACTCATTTACAAAATTTCAAATGTCTATTCCTCCTCTTCTGATTTAGCTTCATGATCCCATGGCTAATAAACGTGATGGAGTGCTATTTAATAGCTTTCTGTTGCTTATTGATTGAGCAGCACAGTTTTTCCAAGATTACATATAAATACTTGTTAAAAGAAAATTAGAATTTCATAATCAAGCACTCAGAAGTTACAAAATGCTAGAATTATAGCTTTGTCTGTAATATTAGTTAATTCTGCCTCTTTGTACCATAGTCATGGAATCTTTCACAATACCTCTGCTTCATTTAAGGCACTAAATAATGGTGCTGAAGGGGTGAATTGGGGTTGGTGGATGAGACCCGGCTTGGGTTGTTGCCTCATTTGTTACAATGATTCGAAGATATATAGTGAATGAGGCCAAGGACTACAAGCAAGGATGGCGATCGTATGAGCTAAAGCAGTTGAATGCTCTTCTAGCAAATTGTGTTCTCCCCACCGATAACTGACTGGAGCTTGACTAGGTCGCTTAAACCAAACTTTACCAAAGTGTCTGTTAATAAAGTGCTCCCTGTTTTCTGAATGCCTAACCTGTGACAGTTAAGAATTGAGTTGCAGAAGTGGTGAATACTTGATTGCAGCTGAAATCAATGGAACCTCTGACCTGGATAGATGGACCTGACTTTCCAGAGTATGGCTTTTAGGAGTCTCAGATTGGGCACCTAAAATTAATCGGTGCTTTTCACCGTGAGTTTACTCTGCCTCAGAATGTTATCTGTAAAGTAGGGCTAATAATGATGTTGACTAGAGTAAGAGTAACTTGTTAACATTTGTAAGTACCTTATTTACTCAAGTAGAAGATGCCCGTATATTTAGGTTCTGTATATGAAAAAAATTACAAATTCATTATAATTTTTCAGGTATAGAATTTAATTATCAGGGATTAGCCTTGAATTTGTCCCCTTCCCACTGCTACAGCAGGGAAAATAAAAGCGGGAGGAGCCCTTGCCCTCTGCTCCAACCCCAACTTCTCCCCCCTGGCAATCCCTTCCCCTTTTTGCTATCATACCCTGCTCCCCCTGAGCACGTGGAAGTGAAGAGCAAATTTAAAAACAATAACCTTGACATTAAACATGGCTGTAGTAATTTGCTTATAGTACCCGTATACTTAAGTCATGCAGAATTGATGCATGTTACCTTTTTTAACTGCCGTTACTTTTAGCATACATACTCCATAAAAACCTTTTTGAGCAGCACTTTGGCACCTACGTATATGAAGAACAAACTATGCATCATATTAGTTCAAAGCCAAAGGCTTGTAATGTACCACAGTTCATTTTGTCATGGTGACCCCATACCTAAGCACTGCTCAGAGAGGGAGTGTGTGTGTGTGTGTGTGTGTGTGTGTGTGTGTGTGTGTGTGTGTGTGTGTGTGTGTGTGTGTGTGTGTGTGTGTGTGTGTGTGTGTGTGTGTGTGTGTGTGTGTGTGTGTGTGTGTGTGTGTACACTCCAGATTCCCCCTCCTCTTCTAAAGGATCCATGTTCTAATTAGTCCCCACTCATGACTAGAACCGGCTGTTCTTGTCACAAGTCCTGGGATCCTCCAAAAATTCACATGCAGATGAGGTACAGGGCAGCCTGGTCTGGCTCCACCGCATGGGGGGCCAGGGCCACATTAATCGTATATGCCATGTTGAGAGACAGTGCAGCAGAGGGATTCTGGGTGAACTGTTTGGGACACTGTTTCATGATGTTTGCTAGGCATTTAGGACAGTTAAAGAAATGGGAATAATTAGAAAAGGGAAAGAATGGCACAGCTCAGCTGTGGGAGTGAAGAGGAATTTGAAATCTATGCTGTGTAGTGGCTTACCATGACTTGAAAATGAGTCAGTGCTGAGGGTGATTGTTCTTAATGAGCATTACCATATATTTTCTTCAGGTGGGTTGCACTAACCTATCCCTGTGGTAGGTTCCTGTTGCAGTGTTTGCCCAATATGGGCCACTTATTGTATAGTTGTGCTCAAGTGTTGGATGCGTTTAATCAACTAAATAGTTGTTTTCCATTGCTGAGTACATCTTCATTTTGACAGTAGTCTAATGATAGCCAACATATTTAGTGAGACTTCCTTGTATGCAAACATAAGATGAGGGGCTTGCCTCCCTGTGCCAGCTGGGGGGGGAAAGCCTTGTCTTACATTCAAGTAAATACGGTTTTCAGATATTGGGGTGATAGATATTGATTTGTGACATGCATTCAATTTGAGACATGATGAGATCTAATCCTCATTTTGAACAATCGCTTGTCCTGCCATACTGCATGTACATGACAAGGCATATTAGTTTGGGATGGGGATTAGATTCCCAAATAAACTTTGCTTGTTGGTGCAGGGGGAGCCTGGGTTCACCTCGTTAGTCAACCCTCCCCCACTCCCCCATACCAGGCTTCCCCTGCACCAGCAACATCAAACCAGTTGCCTAATGATGGTTGGCTGGGAACCAAGCCAGTCCCTGGTCCCAGCCAACAAACAGTTTGGTGCATGAGGAGCCTGGCATCAGGCTGCATACGGGACTTGTACTGCTCCCCCTGCATGGGGAGCCCAGCATCTGGCTGCCACAGCCTGATGCTGGGTTCACTATACACCAGGATCTGTCAAAACCCCATGCGCCTCCCAGGTGGGCAGTATACAGGGTTTTGACAGGTCATGGCCACACCTTCAATCTTAAGTCGTGGTACAAGTGATCATGGATCTTGCTTTTCCCTGATTTTTTTTTATTTTTTTTAATCTTTAAAAAAAATAAATAAATTGCAAATTCTCAGATAAAACCCACAAAATCTGTGATTAAAATGAAAGGCTCCCCTCCCCCCACCCCCAAGCACTCTGCCACCTCTGGCCCTGCTAGAGGGGTCCCCAGCTGCCAGAGCTTGCTGCAGCAGAGCAGAATCCAACCCCCCCCCCCCCAGAGGGAGGGGAGGGGGTGGGCCTGCCTCTCTGACCCTGCGTGCACTCCTGGATCTGTGTCTGGGGCAAGGGTGGTCTTGGGCTGCCTGCTGCGGACTTGGGCTCCTGCCCTGCTGCCTTCCCCAGGACCTCCACAGCCCAGCAGATGCAACTCAGTGCTGCAGGGCACAGTGGGGCTGTGTGGGGAAGCTGCTTGCTGCTGCAAGCTCCACACTGCCCTGGTGAGGCATCCCCTGTGCATGTGGCAGCAGTGAGGGACACAACCCCATACCACCTCTCCTGCTCTTGCCATGCATGCAGGGGACACCTTTCCAGGGCAGTGCAGAGCGTGCAGTGGTAACAAGCTTCCCTGTGTGGCCCTGCTCTGCCCTGCAGTGTGGGATTGCAGCTGGTAGGCTATGGAGGACCCAGGGGAAGATAGCAGGGTAGAGAGCCTGATCCCACAGCAGGCAACTCACCCCTGCCCTGTGCATAGATCTGGGGGGCACAGATTCCTTCTGCCCCTCCTGGGAGTGCACACAATGGCAGGGACCTGGCCCCTTCCCTTTCTTTTTCCCTCGCCCCCCTCCCTCCCAACCCCACCCATCCCTCAGATCAGCCACCTGTGACCCCATCCTGCTCCACCTGTGCCCCACCCCTTACCTATTGCAGCTTCTCTCCTGGCTCCCTGGTGGCCATGTGCGTATACAGGCACATGGCACCGCCTGCCTGCCTGCCCTCATCCCACTTCCCCTGCAGGCTGGATTTCTGCCACCCTGCAGAGAGCGCTTTGTAAAACAGCAAAATCCACAGGTTTCTCCAGTAAAATGAGAAATCCATGTTTGCTTCTGGTAAAGGGTAAAATCTGTAGTTTTCTCCATTTTTCCATGGAAAATGGAAAACCGGGATCCCTTCAAATGAGCCGCAAAGTTATTTCATGTTATGTGGAATCACTTTGTGTCTTGTGTAATACATTATCATGCCTTCAGCCAGCTTTTGTGTGTGGCTGGTTGCTGTTTAAGGCTTGGTTAACTTGCTAATCACAGCTTAAATGTAAAGTCTGTTGGGGAAAAGTCTAGTGAATTAATTGCCAAACTTATAGTTAGAGCAAGGTCTCAAGTGTACATAGTAAAATATTGGGCAAAACATTGCAAGATGAAACTAAAAAGAAAAGTACCTTCTTATTTAGAGAAGTATGCAACTTCCATAGTATAAAAAGGAAAAGTATATTTGATCCAATAGTACTGTAACAATACCTATATCAGTCATTAGTAAGGTCAAATCTTCTAGATTTACAATACAACATTTGACACTGAGGTAATTGAACAGGATTGTGTGAGGATGGCTCAGATACAGTTCAGCCAGCATGTAGGAGTAGTGTGATGGCATATGTTCAGTGCAGACAGAAACTTCAGAGCTTGGCTGCTAAACTCTAACTTAACCTATGCACGCAAAGTAAAAGCTTTCCTTGGGAGCTGTGAATTGGCCAAATTTGTGTGGGCTTTCACCAGTGTGGTACATTCATCCCTGGTGCTACATGAAACGTTCAGCCGTAAATACAATCTCTTATACCTTTGGAGAAGAAAATACTTTAGAATTTTTTTTTTCATCCTGTAGGGTGTTTTTGTTTTTTGTTTTTTTTTTAGCTCACTTTTAAAAGCAGCTGAAATCTTTTTCTGAAATTTCCTGAGGGGAGAAAGGAAATCATCCTGAAACACATGTAGAATGGGGAATTCTAGCTTTTGCAGCTAAAGTTTTTGTTTTTGTTTTTGTTTTTTCCTGCAGTTTTAAGTAACCAAAAAAGAAAGCAGTGGGTAATTTTAGCTATAATCATCACTGCCAGCACTGTCTGTATCAAAATAATTAAGACAAAAAAACCCTGCTACTTTAAAGTGCTGCCTGGGAGGTAGTATAGTTTGGATAATTTTTGGAAGTTTCAACTGAACACTTAAAATATTTCATAGATTTCATAGACATTAGGGCTGGAAGGGACCTTGGAAGATCATTGAGTCCAGCCCCCTGCCCAAAGGGCAGGAAGTCAGCTGGGATCATAGGATCCCAGCAAGATAAGCATCCAATTTAGCCTTATCCAAGGCCTTTATGAAGTTATTTTTCCTGTCTTGGTTGCATGCCATATTACCAGTTCTGAGGACTTGTCAACCTAAGGGAACCCTACTGAGATAATTACCCCATCATAGGTACATTGTATACTCTTACGGCTTTAGCAGTAGATCCCACTAAAAGAATAGACATAAGATTCCTTTGGGGAGCTTTTATGTAATAGTGTAACTGAGCTAAAAAAATTTGAACTTGCTTTTGGTAAACTTTAAGAAGTGTTTGTTTAAGTAATGTGTAACAGTTCAGATTTTCTGTTAATCCAATGTGAAAATACCGTAGAATCCTATGAATACACCTAACTTGCCAAAATTAAATTTTAGAGAATCAGCAACCAAGGCGAAATCTAGGGCTAAGAAGCCAACGGCAGCCAGACAGTTGTGTATTAAGTAGTGATGATGAAGATGACTCAAGGGATACTGATGCATGTGAAAGAAATAATATTTATGGAGGATCAAAAACATTGGAAGATGAAACCACGGATTCAAGGTATGTGCTGTATGGTTTCACAAACGCATGTAAAATGCAATGGTTACATATAAATAGTCAAGCTTCTGTCACCTTTAAACATTACAGAATACTTAGACCGGTCTAAATTAACCTTTTGACTCTCTTAAGCGGTTCCAGAGTTTCATCTATGAGAGAACAGAAATATTAAAGCTCTTACTGAATTCAGGAGAGAGAACTAAAAAAATGACAGTGCTTTTGGTATTAAAAGAACACTGTCTCTTTAAGCTTAATTTAAGAAGTGGCAAGGAGAAAATGCTAATCGAAAGCTATAACTTCAGCAATACTGTCATATAAAGCTCATAGACTACACTTAGATATGTAAATATTCCCTGTAGTATTGACCAGGAAATGAATACCCAAGATTCTGAGACCAGGAGAACAGAGTGTCTTACATCAGTAAGCAAACTCTTTTTTGTAGAACTAATGAACACTATTATTCATTCACTATGGGTGTACACTCTGTGTGCATGTGGGGGGCAGGGTCCCTTGCTCACTTTAAGTCACTTAGACACCATTTTTTTTCTGTTCTAATATGCTTTTGTCGGCTGCCATATAGCGAGTACAAAAAGCTAAAGAGCATTAATAGTCTGCTGCTGTACACGTGCGCCCTATTGATAATTGTCTGATATGGAAAAATCAGCTAGTTTCATAGTATAAAACTGCGTACTTGCCAGGAAAGACAGATTGCAATGTTAGTATCACTCAACCACTTAAAAAAAAAAAAAAAAATACAAATTTAGTTTTTTGAATCCTGCAAGCACTTCAATTTAGAAGCTCCTGGACTACATTGCTACAAGCTTAATTGCTGCTACAATTAGAAGTGTTGAAACAAAATCCAGAGTTTTTATATAGAATCCTTCTGGTTTTTAATGAGGTGGAAGGAAAATGAGGCAGGTTAAAAGTTGTGAGAGAAATCACCACAACATAATAGGAAGTTACAAATAATAAATGGGGGTAAGGGAAAAACATTTTGAGGTAAATCCCGTTGTCTTGAGGTAAGATCATTTTTTCTTCTCCCAAAAGAAAATTAAGGGGAGGGATTTGATAACAGTTTTCAAATATCTGAAGGATGATTACAGAGATGATGTTTCTTCATGACGGTAGGACCTGGGACTAAAAGGAATGGCTTAAGTTTCATCTGGGTAAACTTAGGTTGGAAAGGGCTACCTAGAGAAGTTGTGGAATCTCCATCCTTGGAAGTTTTTAAGAGCAGGTTGGACAGTCATTTGGTTAGGATGGGTTAGTCAGGATGATCCTACCTTGAGCTGGTCTAGATGATCTTGTGAAGTCCCATCCAACCTTATTTTCCTATGAATATTGAGCTGAGAAGCTGATTGGGCAGCCTTTCCACCTAGCTGTGAAGGACTGACAGTGGTAGCCTCATGAAGCTATACAGGTAGCCCTTGTTTAATGCTGTTTCACTTAGCGCTATTTTGCTATAACGCTCATTTTATATTGAGCACTAAGTGAAATTAGGTATCATTGAGTTTAGTTATAATGCTCGCAGTCACTGTCTTTAAACCATTAAAAACAATTGTGGTTGCCATCTTGTGTCATCAAATACTTCCAGTTTCGCTTAACACTCATTTCACTTAACGGTTAGTTTTTCAGGAACCAATTAAGAGTGCTAAGCAGGGCTTGCCTGTATGTTACTTCAGTGTAATTTAATCCCTCCCTCCCTCCCTCCCTTTACATGCTCCCCTCCTTGCCCCCCATACACACACTGAGAATTAGCAGGTTGTTCATTATTATTATTTAAGTGTGAAAAAAGGAATAGCAGTGTTAAAGTGCGGTAATTATGCGAGAGGATAAGGATTTTTTGTATGGTTTTGGCTGCAAGTAACAATTGTGCAAACTTACAGAAATGTCTGTACCTTATTCCTGTCCAAAAAATCTGGCTTCCTTAATTACTGGAGACTTTGTGATCAGCAGACAACTACATTACACATGGGATACCGACTTCAACTCTGTTCCCTGCTGTGCAGTCTTCTGCCTATGCCCTTTACTTGGCTGAGGTTGAGCAGAGTACTATGTGGATGTCCTGAGTCTTGTCTGTAGCTAAATTTTCTCCAGTTCCAGCCACATAAATTGTTCTTAAATACCCCTGCACGTTGCTACTAGAGAGCATGGAAGAGCAATAGTGGAGTAAGAAATGCTTCTATGATGCTTCCTTGGACAGAATATAGGTTTTGAGCAACACAGAAGATGAACAACTTGAGATTTTTTTCCTATCAAAATTTTGCATCATTATTTTAAATTTCCTATGGAAATACCTAATTTGGCTTATTTAGACACCTAAAATTCTCATAGGTAGAAATGAAAATTCATATTTCACAAGAGAACCGAAGGTGACTTTACCACACCTTCAGCACTCCTGTGAAATATGTATTTTCATTTCTACGTAGGAGGACTTCTACAGTCTTCGCGTTCTCCTATGCGTGATGAAGGATGTGTGCCCCCGAAAGCTTGCACGTAAATACAATAATTTGTTTGGAAATATCTAGTTGGTCTAATAAAAGATAATACCACTTCCACAAGTTTTGATTTCTTTTGCCCCTAGACCAGTATGACTACAACCTTTTCCAGGGCACAAGAGCTGTTAACTTCAATGCTTTCTCAATCTATTTCTAGGAAGTAGAGAGAGCCAAAGTGTAGCAACAGCATTTGAGAGGCCTATGCAAAAACCTGGCCCTTGCTGTTGAGGATTATTCTGCATAAAGTGTCTGTGTGATGTAAACTAGCAGTATAAAGGAACAACATTGCCTGCATGCGTTAAGTAACCAGAGACGTAGAAAATGTTGGAGCTTGTTTTCCCTGCTATGTATATTTTGGTCATCTAGTATAACAATTTCTGTTGTATACAAGTGACTGGCATTGTACACAATTGGGGTCTAAATTTAATTTTCATATGTTGACGTTAGTACAATAATCAAATGTATAGCCACGGGTATAAAGGTTTAATTCTATGGAAGTAAAATGCATGATTGTAAAATTAAGACATAGGTATGTTCTTCAGGTAGATAAATTGATCTGTAGAATAGGTTAAACTACAAGGCAAACAAGATTTATCTGTAGGCTTGGCAGAATTTAATTTTTAATCATTTTGACAGCTAAAATCAATGTCTCTCAAGCATTTATTTTGATTTTTATCAATTTTTAGTGTTTTTGGGATTGTAATGACAATATACTATTAAAAGCTTTATAAAATCATGTAAAAATATAAAAAAAATCTGTAAATCAATAAATCCATACCTGCTTTAAATCATTCTATTAATTTATCAAAAAAGAGTCAGGTGGGTAGGGACCAGAAGAGGAAAGCAGCAGCAGCACTCCCAGAGCTTTGGGAACACAGGGAGCGGTGGTGGCCACCCTCTGCCCCCTGCACTTAGCTGGGCAGAACCCTGCTGCCACCCTAGTGGAGTCTCGAATGTCCCCCCTGCATTTGGACAGGCATTTAAGTATCCTGTCCAGCCAGCTCCCTATACTTGTGAACAAGCAGTTAATTGCTTAATTGATGAGTCATTATGCTGCCCATTGTTTTCCTCTCTAACTCCACCCTCTGTCCCTCCCTTTCTCCACTGTCCAGGAATAGGGGTTTCCTGTTACAGTCCCCTTTCTATAAATTTCAGTTATTACTGATGGAAATATTTTTCTGTTTGTCTCAGTGTGAGGTGAAATCGTTAATCATTGATTAAAATCGAATCCTGCCAAACATCATTATCTGATACTAAATGAACTACCTCTTCCATTATTGTTGGTGGTTTTGTTGGGGTTTTTTTTGGGGGGGGGGGCACGTGGGTTACTATAAAAATGTGATTCTAATAAGCTATTCTTATGCTTTTACTTAAGAATAGCTTATTACACTGAAGTAGTCAAATATTTAATAAAAATATGTTTGAATAGCTTGTGGTGGAAGGGTGCTCACTTTTGGTTTACTTTTCTCTGAGTTTGGAGTGCTGCTAAACTGGCATTTTTAAATGTTTGTTACCTATTCTAAAATGAGAATGCAGAGTGAGCTGAACTGTTAAATCAACTTCTGCCAAGACCAGCTAGCTTTTTCTCCGAACCAAGGTTGTTTGTAATCATCTGAAGACAAGTGGGTCTTCTCTAGGCTCCTTGTGCCCTGTACAATGCCATAAGCTACAGTAAGCAAAAAAGATGAACGAAAGCCAAAGGCCTTCTTGCTTGTGAGGTGGTGGAAATCCTAACTGTTAAATGTTGCAATCTGAGGTTCTTGTAGGATCATATGAGGCTTTGATCAACATAATAAACTTAGACAAAGCCTGCTTTTGTGAGTCTAAGGAAAAGAAGCAGTTCTTGCCTGAAGTAATCACTAGGACCAAGCAAAAAATTACCAGATAAGATTGTCTATAATTTTCAGTGCATAATAGAACTAATCTTCTCCCCTCCCCGCCCCCCTTTTTTTTTTAAAGGCCTTCAGGTACCATTAGTTGTCCAATTTGTATGGATGGCTATTCAGAGGTAAGACTTTATATATGGTAGTGTTTCTGTAGTGGAAAATGTTGAACTGTGTTAAACTGTGTCTGTAATAGCCTCATGCAACCTGCTCGATGCCCTAGTAGTCAGACCAGCCTGCTTGTGCTTCCCTGTTTCCTCTTGCCTGCCGTGACTTGATCTTTGGGGTTTTTAATAAGGGAGGTTACCACCAGAGACCAGGTAGTGTAGGTGTCTTTTGTTGGGGTGTGATCTTTTGGGCTACTCTGTCCCCAAGTTCTATGGGGTGAGCCTCTCTCTTTTGAGAGAACCTCAGTAGGACCTTAGGGCCAATAATCGTGACCTCCTGCCCCCATAGTCATGACCAAGCCTCGCAGATGTTACCAGTTATCAGTCTTAGGAGGCACTTTGCCTCGATATACAGTCTGGCCTACTCAGGCCTCCCAGCCCTTGCTGGGATCATGACCTTCCTGTCTTCCACACACTTTCTAGCTGTTCTCCTTCTAGCCTAGAGCCATGGCACCAGGGCCCAGGTTATGAGCTCCAGCCCACTTCAGATTCTGGACCCTTGGCCCTGTATTTCAGCCCCAGACCATCTCTGGCTTATGTCCTGCCCTAGCAGATCTTAAACCTTGGCATGCCCTGCTGGTACCGTATGGTGGCTTCCGCAGTCGCCTCTTACAGCAGGGGCTGGTAATTATTTTGGGTAGAGGGCTGCTTACTGAGTTCTGGCAAGCCATCAAAGGCCACGTGGCAGGCAGGAACCAGATGCGCAGTCGCATGGAGCCAGGCTCCTGGGCCACTGAACAAAGTCCAATGCAACAGTGCCCTGGTCCCACCAGAGCCCCTGTGTTTCCCTGGGGAGCCAGCCCCTGCACTGTACTGCAGCTGGCCAGGGCCCCAGCCCAGAGCCTGCCCATCAGCTCAACCACCCACCCACCCCATACAGCTAAGCCTGCAAAAGGTGTGGTGCTCCTGGCAAGGGGCAATGCCAGCCTCACCCTGGTGGGGGGCTGGGTCAGGGCTGGGCTCAGAACAGTTGGGAGTCAGGTGGGCTTAGCTGCAAGCTCTGCTGCAAGCAGCCTGGGCTCCATGGTTGGCAGCAGCTACCAGAGCCTGGGCCAGCTGCAGCCAGGAGGCTGCAAACAGTTGCTCCAGGGCTCTGTCATCAGCTCCATACCAGGGGGTGCATGTGCACCTCACAGCAGACAGTGCCGGGGGGAGCCTGAGGCAACACAACCCTGGCCTTTCCCCCACTGCCGGCACAGAGCTGATGACTGGGTTCCAGAGCCCGGCACAGCTGTTTGTAGCCAGCCTGGGCTC